ACACAGTTCTGTTTTACTAGAAACTTTTCCTGCATCTCTGCATTTTATTATTTCATTTTATTTTTTCTATTGTTCTTTCATTTCTTTGTATAATATAACTGGTGATTTGAGCACTGAATTATGGTGTAGTCTTTTACAGCCCAATTAAAAATAACTATGAGATTGGGGCCATGGGAGATAATTTTATTGATTATATTTTATAATTAGTTACATGCTGATACAATCCAGGTATCATTATTTGGGTTGACAATGAAATATAATTACTAACAATCCAAGGTAACTAACTTACTGCTGCTTAATTTCATCATTTTGAGATACCATTTTAACTTGCTGATTACTCCAATCTCCCAATTTAAACATTTTCTCTCTTAATTTGCTGATGAATTATTTTCAATTTTTCTGTGGAGAAATCGATTTGGGAGCATCAATTACTTAGGTGAGAAGTAAGGCATCCCTCAGTAGTCTTTGAAGATAAGATGACAAGAACAGCAGAACATAATTGATAAGGAGGTCATTATTATTTACTATCATCATATTAACTCACTCATAATTTTCCCACTGCTTAATGAGGTATGATAATTTCCAGGTAGTCTAATTATGAAATGTTTTATTTACTTTTTAGTTTGAACATGTTAAAAGGTGGAAGAACTGTTAATTGTTTTAGAATTTGGTATCTCTTTGTACTAACTAGTGTGTAGTCTACTTTTATTCTGAAAAAAATATGAACGAAAAAAACTATAAAAATACAGCATCTGAAAAATCAAATATTTAATGTCATCTTTTATAAATATAAACTCAGGATATGAGATGCATTTATCATTAGTGGGTTATGAGTGATTATAAAATAGTACCAGGAAGAAACTACCCATGTGTGTGTAAACGTATTCTTGATTTCTGGATTTATTGGTAGACGATGATTATAGGAATGATTGTAGGAAACGTTACTATGAGTCTTATGTGTTGCAGTGCCCATTGTTGTCCAGCCATTATCCTTGGAAAACTAACTATGGCTGAGTAGAGTGTGTATTATGATTGATCCTTAGATTAGTTACGGTGGACTAAACTCATTTTTGCTACCTAGAGCAAATGGACACTTTTTAACATGAATACTAAGGCTTTGCAACTTTTACCTTTGTTGTGTTACAGAAACCCTTGAAACTCTCCTCAGACAGGCAGAAAATTACACCAGTATACTTTTCTGCAACACCTACAGGAACATGGCCTTAGAAGCTGCCACTTCCATTCAAGAGTTCTTCACTGATGTGGGACTCTATTTGTTTGGGGCAGATGTCAATCCTGAAGAATTTGTGAACAGGTTTTTTGACAGTCTTTTTCCTCTGGTCTACAACCATCTCATTGATCCCGGTGTGACCGACAGCTCCCTGGAATACTCAGAATGTGTCCGCATGGCTTGGAAGGATATTAGTCCATTTGGCAATATTCCCAAAAGAGTAAGGGGGCAGATGGGGAGGTCTCTGCTGCCCAGCCGCACGTTTCTGCAGGCTCTCAATCTTGGCATTGAAGTCATCAACACCACAGAGCATCTCCACTTCTCCAAAGAGTGCGGCAGAGCCCTCCTGAGGATGCAGTACTGCCCGCATTGTCAGGGCCTGACTCTCAGTAAGCCATGTATGGGATACTGTCTTAATGTCGCCAGGGGCTGCCTGGCGCACATGGCAGAGCTTAATCCACACTGGTATGCATACATCCGGTCCTTGGAAGAGCTGTCAAATGCCATGCATGGGACTTACGACGTTGAACATGTGCTGTTGAACTTCCACTTGCTGGTTAACGATGCCGTGTTGCAGGCTCACGTCAATGGGCACAAGTTATTGGAACAGGTAAGCAGCCAGCATGTATTTCCTGTCCGATTTCTTAGAATTAAACATTAGCCATGACCTGCATAAAGTTAATGAGTTGTCATTATAGGTTACCACATCATTAGGGACTCTAAAATTATGGCTGCCCAACAGGTTTGTACTTTAGGAAATAGCAGGAGAGTGCATGGGTTGCCATATTTGATTCTAGATATTATATTTTACAAATGTTATATCAAAATTTTGATCAGCTAAAATACCTCTATCTCCCCTAAGTAGAATTCTTCTGACAGTGTTCGGTGAGGCAGCAAAAGCTCAAGTTTAAATCTTAAGCGAAATAAATCATACATGCATTGTTTCTCGTGTGAGAACCCCAAAGCATAAATAAAGAGCAAAATGGAGAATAGATATTAGGAAGGGAAGAACTTGTTCGAATAGGAAGGGAAACAAGAGATAGGAGCAAAGGGAGGTGAGGAAGGGAAGAGAGAGTTAAAGAAAAAAAGAATTGAAGGAAAAAATTGCAATAAAGCTTTTGTAAATGGGGAAGGGAAGAAAGGTTGGAGAAAGGGAAGGGGAAGGGAACAAAAAGAAGAATCAAGGTGTGTTACGTACATGTACAAATCCCACGTGATCAATGTGATCATTGTGTACTACAAACATGTACTAATAAAAATAAATTTTAAAAAATCAACAACAAAGGTTTGAATCTAAAATCAGCAATAATTAGTTGCACGAAATTAGTCAAATCTTTTACTTTCTTTGAACTCTGATCTCATTGAAAAGAGGTAACACACAACTTACGAAGTATTTATTTTGGGAGGAAGATAAGCATTATGTATGCAAACTGTCTAGTATGGTGCCTGTATTCAAAAAAATAAATGACTATTAGAATTTCAAAAGTGTGCAGCTTTGAAATAGAAAATGCCATTGTATTTTCATGATAAATTGATGTTCAAGATATTTCTTCACAGTATACAGAAATTTTCAAAGCAAAGGTGTGATGCCTCTTTAAAATATGACAGAAACATGGTCATGCTGTTTTATTTCTAATAGACTAAGTATTTTTTGAAATAGAATCATCAAATTAAGGAATGTGAGAATTTTTAAAATCTTACTTTCTATAGAGCAATTTAAAATATACTCACGGGCTCCCGTAGTAATAATTCTCACATCTCATACAGTGAAGTAGGACATGCTCCTGGTGGTTCTCCTGAAATACAGTTATATTCCCTGGTACCGACTAAATGCATCTCCCTACCCTGGCACTGATTTACTGAATTAATAAATGTTCTCATCATGAGAACTATAGGTCAGATCTTCGTTTGTGATAGAAATTGGAACCGAAAAGCTTTATGTTTAACTACCTCCTTTCCTGCAAGTCTTTTCAGAACCTGTATGTTACCTTTATGCAAGTTCAAAATTGACCCTCAAATGGACGCAGTAGTGTGATAACTGGAGTGTGGGTTGGATTTCAATACCTATTTTCAGCTTCAATCAGCTGGGTGTTGCTACCTAATTAGAAGTGTCTACTTTAGTAAGGCAGTCCTGGGTTTCCCTGTCCTCTGCCATCCCCTTATGAAAATCAGGCATGAGCCAGAAGGGACATGATAAACCAACTCAAAGTGGAGGCATGAAAGATTATTGAGGTTTCAAGTATTTCATGGTTAGGAGCAATAAGCATTTAGATCCAGGAAATAAAATATCCATGTTATGACATCACATATGTATCTCCAAAGAAGACAACAGGCACTAGAAATCTGTGGGCCATTACAGACTTGATCATTATTTTGGTGCATGCCATCTAAGATCTCGGGTAAGAACTTTTTAATGTATGTAAGTAAACACATTTTCAAGATCTTTTTTATTATATTAGTTTGAAGGCCTGGAGGCTCCTTTTATATGCTTAAAATCTGTTCACATAGACAGTTATCTGTTTTTCCTAATTCAGACGCTAAACAGGGTAGTAGACAGGCACGGTTTCAAATCCTGAATACTCTGTAACTTCTTAGTGTCTTTGGAAAGGTACTAAAACTTCTGGAGCCTGTTTTGTCTTGTCTGAAAAAAGCTGGAGTAATGGTTTAAGTGGGGGAGACTCGGTCAATCTCTGACATTGGTAGGCACCAGATATCTGAGGACTGCCTTGTTTTCTTTCCTATGCCAAGGCCAGCCCTGAGCAGACCTTCATGAAAGAGGTTACTTTGATATCTCAAAGTATTAGAATTTAGTAGGCATTTTATTAACAAGTTTTACTCAGGACTTTTATCATATGAAACTCTTTGGTGAATTATCAAAGAGCACTTTTTTAAGCAAATAGTTTGATTTCATATAATAAATAGTCCCATGACTAGCTTGAGAAACATCAATTATAGCTAATAAATTGCAGATTCTTTTCTAAATAAAATAACTGGGATTCTCATTTTTACTTATGGGGAAATAAAAGGAGAAAAACTGACTTTAAATTCTTTGAAAACTGACTCATTAATATTTATTTTTGCCAACTTCACAGTGATTTATAAGCTGTTTATCAAGCTTTGATAACAAGTTTGGACATTGATAAATTTAACAAATTCAAAGTGAATCACTGGATAGCCAGAAAATGAGTTTCTCACATATCCTAAGCAATCTGTGAGATCAACTATTTCCAAGCCTGGTCCTCAGTAAATACGTATTTCCACTTTAAGAAATCCATAGAGATACCTGTTCATCATAGTTCTGTTGGACGAATTTCAACTGGAAAAAAAATGTTCTCAGTTTTTTTGAGAAAAATCATGAATATCTTATATTTGGAAAACCTTTAAAGAAACAAAAGCTAGACTATTTAAAAAAATTTAGCAGCTATTTTGTGGATTAAGAAAAACTTTAGTTTAGTAGAAACAGCCAGAAAAGAGCAGAGACTAAAAGCACTGGGTGTAGGTTCAGGCTAAAGTCCGTGTCTCTTTATCACTGATGAGCTGTGAATTTGGATTTCTCATTATTTAATCTGTTTCAGTTTCCTCTTTGGTTAAATGTAGCAATGGCAGTACCTTTGTCATAGAGTTTTTGAAAGGATAAAATAACTTTTTGTACTTGGATTAGTGTTCTATACATAGTAAAAGACTACTAATTAGTAGCACATTATATTATAAAGAGTTCATTGATTTCTCTGGAGTCTTAAATGCTCTCAAAGTAAATATCTCATTAGAGTGCAGAGTTTAAAGAAAGCATTAGTAGTATAGAGCTCGAAAGTATTTTAAATGATCATTTATTATAAGCATATAATTGCAAAGATTTTCCTCATATAAGAGAAAATGAAATTTTCACAAAATATGTAAGTCTCTAAAGTGTTTACTATTATTGGATATGTATATATGTGTGTATGTGATTGGACATACATACATATAGAGAAAGAAGTCATCCTGTTGTTAATTATTCATCTTGTAAATAAAGTTGCATACATTTTTGAAATTTAGTTTGCTGTTAATTGTATTTAGTATATTATTTGTTGTTACAGTTTATCAATTTAGCTTATCAAAGATACAAGAACACAGGCCCTATGTTAATCTCTGTGTTTCAACATGTTAGAATAGAAACAGCTGTTATAAGGAAACTCAGCTGAACATTGATTCTATATAATTTTAGAAAAAAGAGGTTTCTAAAGTCTGTAAAATCAGGACCACAATTTCCCAAAATAAATGTCCAGCTCAATATTTTCCTATAGATAATCATTGCTTCACCTCTATTACTTATGCAGTATTAGTAAATATTTGGCTGGTTACATCCAGATTACTTTAGAATCAATATATGATACACTATAAAATCCTAAATTCTGTCAAATTTGAGTTTCAAGTGAATTATACACAAAATGTGATGTAGCTGCTAAGAAAATGAGTATCTCATCACTTCTAAATACATCAAATTTATCTAAATCTGTAAAGATGGAGTATAGTAAATTTTTAATGTGTTTTAGGTATTTCAACTGTATTTTATATAAAAGTTGAAAGCAAAAATTAAAATGGTTGATTGGATTAATTAGATAATCCAAAATTTTGTTGTATTTCTTCTGCAGTGTGGTATATGTTTTCCTGAGATATTGCCGTGCATGGGATTCTTCATAAATCCAGACTAGGGAACAAATAAGTTTGGTGCAAAATACAAGTTCAGTAGATAATGTAACCCAATTAAAATATAATGAGCCTCCAATTTAAGGATTTAAATGAGATATCCTAAATGTAATATATTCTATAGTAAACATGGTGCTTGAACTTGAACAAAGTTAACGATGGCTTCGTGGCAGTCAATGAGGTGCATTGTGGGAGGTTTTGAATGATAAAGAAGTGTCAGAATGTATACATATGTAGCAACCATGGCATTATCACAGCCATAAAGTGTCCAATAAGCTCTTCTTCCTAGAAAGATGATACATATGGACACATAAACATGTATAAAATATTGCATATAGTTTAGACTTTACAACTTCTTCCCGTAAGGTCACAGGCTGGAAGGTAAAGACCTGTAAGGAAAGGACTTTCTTATTCTTAGGGTGAAATATGTTGATATGAAAGTTGGTTCCTACAATGATTTAAATATGATCGTAATTATTTTGAAATTTGTGTTGTATATGTACTTTGTTATTTTGGCTGTGGCACAAGATAATACAGAATACATGTACTTCAGACAGGCAGAAAAACAGAGTAAATAAAATAAATAAAACCTCTAGGGTTGCCCTAGGATTCATAATATATAAAAAGGTGAGAAGGTGTTATTTCTGAATCAAACTTTTAAAAAGTGCTTTTATTCATGTACATATTTGTATTTGGCCACCACAAAGTAAAAGGTGGTGATCAAAGGTGATGCATCAGCTACTTCATGGACAGAAGCCATTCCTGGTTTGGCAAAACATCATTGAAAATTCATTCATGATATCTTGAAGATATCATTTTTACCTTTGCCTAAATTTGTTAAAACTTACTTGGTTTGTTGATCCTGTAGTAGTGTGATTAGTACAGTGCTCAAATGAGCTGGCTCTTCTGAGAACTAAGACTGGA